CCGTATTGTGGCTAATATTGACTAGCAAATCATGCTGTATTCTTTAACATTGTAAATATGCTACATCCTGGTCATCAAAAATGTCCATTTTCCTCACTGTCATACAGCAGTTTTCCTCCTACCACTCATTGATTTTGCGTCATAGTTTCTGCTTTTTTTCTTTGTATTTAGTAAGTTCTCAGTACTTTCACTATTTACACCATATTTAGCACCAGAGCTCTGCGTAATGTCACACTTTAGGACTGGTTTGCTTCATTCACTGCCTTATGCCGAAGAGCTTTTTTGCTGTGATGTAATTATGTGTGTATTGCGTGCTTTTATGTTCAGGTTTGGGTTGATATACTACATCTAGGTGCAACTGGTGCAACTGTTTTGTTATGCCTTTCGGCTCACACTGAAGATTGCATAGAAATCTTGTTAATTTTGGTCTAAGGCAGTTGACCTGGTTCTTTCCTCTGTTCGGACTCTAAGGGACGCTGTTGATCAGGAAAACAGAGGGTTGTTTCTGTGACAGAGGAGAGAAAGAGGAGAGGTTGAACACACTTCATATAAGGAGGCGTTCGAGAGAAATTCTGTCGCAGTAAAAGGACGTTTTTGATTTCACCCGAGCTATTTACTGAGTATACGAGCAGCTGTGTGGAACTGGATAGTAGATTGCGTTTCCGTGTGTGGCTGACTGAACTATTTTACAGTTAAAATCAGGATTTTTCTCTGAACAACATGGGAGTACTCCAGCAGCGATGCAGAAAATGGCTGTTGTGCTGGACACCAACATGGCATCTGCTGATTTTCTTCTTGATGATTTTCACCGTCAGTGGCCAGATCCGATATTCAGTACCGGAGGAGATGAAGAAAGGCGCCCTCATCGGTAATGTGGCACAGGACCTTGGTTTGGATCTAACAAGGCTCCGTTCAGGCCGGGCCCGTATCGTGAGCGGAGAAACCAGTCAGTACACCGAGCTGAGGGCAGACAAAGGGATTCTAGTGGTGAATGAGAGAATAGACCGAGAGGAGCTTTGCGGAGAGGTAACACCGTGCAGCTTCAGCTTTGAGATTATTTTAGAGAATCCGATTGAACTGCACAGGATAACGGTAGAAATATTAGACGTAAACGACCACGCACCAACATTCAAAAATAAAGTGATTAATTTAGAAATTAGCGAGTCTGCTACCATAGGATCTCATTTCGACTTAGAAAGTGCCTATGATCCTGATGCGGGGATTCACGGCTTACAAAATTATGTTTTGTCCCCTAATGATAATTTTGCTTTGAAGCAACACTCCAACGCTGATGGAATTAGATTCGCTGTCATGATTTTGCAGAAGCCGTTAGACAGAGAGTTGAACCCACACCTCTCTTTGAAGCTGATAGCAGTAGACGGAGGAACGCCGCAGCGATCTGGTACAGTAAATATAGAGATCACTGTTCTTGATGCAAATGATAATCCTCCTGTGTTTAATCAATCACTGTACAAAGCCACTGTGGCAGAAAACGCCCCCTTAGGCACCTATATAACGACTGTGAATGCTTCAGATGCTGACAGTGGATCGCATGGCTTAGTTACATACACGTTTTCTAATGTCAAGGGGAAATCTGCCGAAAAATTCGAAATTGACAGTGTCTCTGGCAGAATCATTGTTGTTGATAATATCGATTTCGAAAAAGACAAAAAATTCGAAATAAGAGTGATCGCCAAAGACCAGGGTGGCTTAAGTGATGCAACCAAAGTTGTCATAGACGTTGTTGACATAAATGATAATGCGCCAGTTATTAACATAATGTCATTCTCCAACATGATTTCAGAGGATGTCCCTCCTGGTTCAACAATAGCTGTTTTTAATGTTAAAGATGCAGACTCCGAAAGAAATGGTCAGATAGCATGCTCATTAGATTCCAATCTCCCCTTTAAAATACAGTCTTCCTTGACTGATTATTACAATCTGCTCTCAGATGTAGCCTTTGATCGAGAAACGAAACCGGAATACAACATAACAATAACTGCAACAGATTCAGGGTCACCCCCACTTTCTACAACAACAACTTTACAGTTAAAAATCTCTGATGTAAATGACAATGCTCCACGCTTCACCAAACCGAATTATTCAGCTCATGTTATTGAAAATAACTCCCCTGGGATGTCATTATTCAGTATGAGCGCCCGAGATTCTGATTGGAATCAAAACGCAAGGATCTCATACTTTCTAGAGGACACGGAGGTCAGTGGCAGCCCAGTTTCTTCTTATGTGTCCATAAACTCTGAGACTGGAGTTATACATGCAGTGCGCTCTTTTGATTATGAGCAGATTAAGCAGCTTGTATTCACCGTCAGAGCGCAGGATGGAGGCTCTCCTCCACTCAGCAGCAACGTGACAGTGAAAATGATGATCCAGGACCAGAACGACAACCCTCCTCAGGTTCTGTATCCAGTCCAGACTGGTGGCTCTGTGGTGGCTGAAATGGTGCCTCGTTCAGCAGATGTGGGCTATCT